AATAAAATAATATATAATAATAAAATAAAATATAATAATAAAATAAAATATAACAATAAAATAAAATATAATAATAAATTAAAATATAATAATAAAATAAAATATAATAATAAAATAATATATAATAATAAAATAAAATATCATAATAAAATAAAATATAATAATAAAATAAAATATAATAATAAAATATAATAATAAAAAAAATAATAACAAAAAAATAATAATAAAATGAAATAATAAAATAAAATATAATAATAAAATAAAATAATAAAATGAAATAATAATATAAAATAAAAATCATAAAATAAAACAAAATAATATAAAATAATAATATATTATAAAATAATAAATAAAATAAAATAATATAATAAAATAAAACAATAAAATAAAACATTAAAATAAAGAAGAGGCTAAAATTAAAAGTGAAAAGACAATAAATACGTCAAATACAGCAGATAATAATAAAAACAAAGAGATAAGAAAAAGGGGAATTTAAAGAAATAGCAGAAAATGAATAAGTTGAAATAAATTAAAAATAAAACTAAAAAGAATAAGAATATAAATAATATCAAATTATATTATTTTATATATATTTATGCAAATATTAAACCATTTAAGAATCGCTGCATAAAAAAGCTTTCGATTGTTTGTTCTTTTTTTATTTTTTTTTAATTAAAAATCTTCTTCTCTATAAAAAACTTTTTTCACCTTCTACTTTAGCATATAAATTTTCCCTCATCTGTTCTATAAAAGCACACTTGTTTATGTAAACATTTTCTATCTTTTCACTATTATGCTTTGATGTTATATATGGCATATGTATTTTCCTTTCTTTTCGTGAGTTTTTCGCAAATGTCAAAAACGCTAACAAATAACAAAACATGGCGGGCTGATTGTCAAAAAAAGCGTGACGTCAGTGAGAAAATTTGAGATTTTGAAAATTCGTACAAATTTTAGTTGCGCGCGCATTTTTCTCTAACCGCGAAAAGGAAAAATTTCGAGTTATTTTCGAAAATGTGTTTTCATCATACTTTAGTGTGTTTTGTTGTTGTTTATTTTTGTATCTTTGCAATTTTTTTATTGCTGTTTGTTGTTGGTTTGCCACTGATGTTGCTGGTGATTCTTCTGCGATACTTCTGCTGCTGCTGGTTGGTGCTGTTTGATACAGTAAAGATTTTATAAGATTTCTGTTAATTTGAATCTCCTGTGCTTGTGCTCTGGCGAATGTTTGATTTTCGAAAACTATATCAGACGAAGATTAAGATCTTCATTAGAAGGTTGTGTGCAACGAGCGTGAAACGTGAAAGAAAATTATTTTCTTTAAAAAAATTTTTTTGCTGCTTTTTCTGTAACCAAAAAAGAGCACAACAGACGGTGTAAATAATAAATAGTTTTTGTTTTTTCACCTTTTTCTAATGAAGTGCGTGCGTGTGTAAAAAAGTCTTTAAAAAAATCATATATACATATATATGTATATTTTTAATAAATGATCTTCAACGTATTTTCGAGATATGCAATAAAAAATTACAAATATTTCCATAAAATATTGGAAATTATTTTCTAAATTAATTGCTCGTGTAACCTGTGAATAATTTTCAAGATGCAAATCTTATGGAAAAAAATAAATTTTTCTTCAATATTATTATTATTTTTTTTTTTTTCGTAATTATTATTTAAACATGGTGATATAACATGGATGAAAGTATTGCAAATTTAACAATTTAACGATCAAAAATAATTATATTAAGTGTTTTAAAAATAACACAAATGAAAATCAAAGTGAATTGTGTGTTGCCATACAAATGAGCACAAAGTCACCCCCTACAGCACTGCGATGATCCCTTTTTGCACCACAAAAAAAAAAGTATCTGTGCGTGTGTCTTATGTTTTGCAATGAATTAGATTTTTTTCTTAACTGCGTAAAGTGAAATAAAAAATATTTTAATATTATTAAAAAACATAAATTAAATAATTTTTTTTTAAAAAAAAAACTAATATTAATAAAAACATATTTGTGTTTTTTTTTACTTGTTTCTATCTTAGTGTCCATACCCTGTATATAATATTGAAGTATATCAAAGCAATCTACACAACACACATTCGCTTATAAAGCGCGCTACATACAAACGAAAATGATCAACATATTCAGTGTATCTAAATTGTGTTGTTTTTATTTTTAGATGCGAAAGTTTCTATTTTAAGTGAAAAATAAAAAGCAAATAAGCGCAGCAGTTTTCCATTAAAAAGGCATGAATTTGTTTATCTGTTGCCTTATAATATAAAAGAAAAATTCATTTAAAGCTGTTGTGGCATAGATTTTCATAAGAAACAAGAGTTAAATTATATTTAAAAAAAAAATTAATAAAATATTTTTAACCAAAATTTTATTGACTTGATTTAAATAAATCTTCCGATCGTCAAAGTGTAGACAGTAGCAAAAGTAAAATTGTTGAATTTCCCTGCTCTACTTTATGTGCTACTAAAAAGTTTAATTTGTTTTAAACAAAAAGAAATAAAAGAAATAAAAAATAAAGTAAAATGAAATAAAATAAAATAAAAAATTTTTATATAAGCATTCGAAACAAACTAAAATGTTTTCCTTTCTTCAAATTTACTAAAACATTATTTCAAATACAAAAGAAAAACAAAAAAAAAAAAAGATGCTATAAATTTGCCAAAATAATATAAACTTAAACAAAAATCTCGAAAATACGTGCGCAAATTTTTAACTTAATTTTATCTGCAGTAAATAGGAAATATTCTTCAATTTTCCTTTCCCCTCTCCCTCCCCCTACTCACGCTCTCTCTCTCGTGTGCGCAAATTTTATTAACTTAACCATTGGTTTTTTTTTTTTTTTAAATTATAATTTTTTTAATTAACACCAAAATTCGAATATAGGTTATGATTTAGTTAAAGAAATGCGTTTAAGGTTTTTTTCGCTGATCATTTGCCTAATTTTTTTTACACATTAAGAACAGACTTTTGTTAAAAGACTCTCCTTCCTAATTTTTCCAAACACTGTTTTAAGAGGTATTTATTGCATTTTATATGAATTCTTGTCTTCCTACAATAGTTCCACTTGTTGGAATAAACATCGCGTCGATTGACATACCCGATTGACATCGTAGAATAAGTTCCTCGTGATACTACAATAGGATTGTTGGATTTTATAAATTCCTTTGAACTCTATACTATTTTAAGAAAAATACTACTGTTTTAAAAGGAAAATAAAATCAATAGATATTTTTTATTTTGCTTGTAGGAGATATCGTAGTAGTATCTTCACCTACCTTCGATCTAGTTAACCATTATGCTGCTTACGTAGCTTAAACAATATAATTACTTTCGTTTTTTCTATTGTGTTTAGTAGTAGTCTATCCCCTATAATTGTTTCATTTGAATTTACACAAAAATTTTAAAAGATCTATTTATTATCTTCACCAATTATGCTTTAATAAGTTTGTATTTCTAAGACACATTTTTTTTGGTTGTCATATAACAATTTTCTTATTAATTAATGGACAACTTCTTCATGATTTAATAAATTGATCGATCAGTGCTTTATAATTCCTTTAATAGAAATATTCTATAAAGTTATTTATTCAATAATGCTTAATGCTTGAGTTTTATTATTGGCTTAAAACTTTCAATGTTATTCGTTATTTGTAGAAATTTATGAAATATAACGACTAAATCAACACTAAGTGCTTCTTAAAGCTATTATTTTGCACGTAAAGCGGAAACGTCCCGAAACGTTTACAGATTCTTGATATTATCACTCTATAAATAAATAGTTTGGGAATATTTTAATTATTATCTTGAGGCTAGTTGAGTCAGTGCACCTGAGCACTTTTATTCTTTGTTAACTGCGAGGTTTCTTCAAAACCGCTCTTTGCGCCTTGACTAGATTATTGTTTATCAGTTCATCAGACTAAGCAATAATTGTAGATATTATAAAAATTTTAGTTTTTGTTACAATACAAAACTTGATTATTTAATTTCTATTACCAGCAGTCCTATCTCCATTATAGATAATATCTTCTAATAATAGAAGGGATGATCAGTTAAGGTTTCATTTTATAAACAATACTTTTTGTACATAATATATATAGCAAAAAACAAAAAAAAACATTTACACATAAAGCACAATTCTTATAAACTATGGTATATAGAAAATAGTTTATATCTAAACAATTGTAAAGATCAAGGTTACAAAGAAATGCATACATAAACTATTTATGTATAGAGCCATGTATACCTGATTTATTTGACAGAGATAATAAGTAAATTTAAATATAAAAAGCACTTTACATTTAAACAAAATTTATTCAATTCGTTTAAAGATGTAAAGTTCAAAGGAACTTGATGTACTTATTTCAAGATAATAGATAGTTTTTATTTGTTTCCTGTATTAAAAAAATGTTTAGAAATGATCTATTTTTTTTTTTTCTCAATGAATTTTTAAGTAATACTTTGTAGTGTCGCTTATTAAAATAAATAATTAAATAGTATTTGTTTAAATAAATATATAACTCATATAAAAGTAAACTTAAATGATTTGATCATAATGAATGCATTGAGGAATTTAGTTTGATTTGTTAAAATATTTTAATTGAAATCGACATATGTCTTTCATTTCTTCGTTTCCTTTATAATGAATTACTTTTATTTTTATTTCTTATTGTCTATAAATTCTTATTTATATATTAGGTGCCAAAAATCTCATTAACCAAAAGAAATTTGCGCAAAACTAGACACTACATTGACATTGAATTCTGTGGCAGTCATGCGTATTTGCCACGTTAATGATAAAACCATAAAATTCATTCATATTGGCACAGTGTCTACCTTAAACGCATTTCTGAAAAAACGATCGAGTGAATAACAACATTTCTCTAATTAGTAAAAACATTAAAAATAAATAGTTAAATAATCACAATTAAAGATAAAAACAAATTATTATAAAAAAACTAAAAATTATACAAAAGAAAAAAAAATTAGTAGAACTGAAAGTGCTTTATTAACATTGAAAAGTGTTACATTTTTACGCTTAATTAATGTTCATAGAAATATCGAACCGCGCTTTAAACTTATAACTAACTAAGACTAAGGCTAAGAAATTTTTTCTTACAATTGAAACCTCAAAAAATCAGTGACAACCTTGAACGTACGACACTGCACTGCACTGCACAACACTACACAATTTTGGTGAACCGATTTGCAAGAAAAATAAAATACTCTATAAAGGAAAAAAAATGTCGAACGAATTGAGCGAATTAATCGCGCTAGGCTGCCCCGACCTTACTAGTAATGGAGGCACTGAAATTGTTATGGTTAATGCTGAACGACGTTTAAGCGTCAAACAGATGACAGCAACTGACTTTGCTTTAGCGCGCAAAGCTGCAACATCCAATGAATCACCAAATACCGCAAATATAAAGGTAGCTACAACAGCAACGACAAAAGACTTGACGCCTAACACCAGTAGCAGTGTTTCGTTAGAAAAGGCAACACTATCATTAAGTGTTTCGCCTACATCTACAGCAGTGACTGCAATTACAGCCCGAAAATTTGCTGCCTCTACGTCTATATCACCTATAGCAACAACACCATTATCCCCTAGCCCCACTGAGACATATGCAGAGCAAAGTAAAGCGCAACATTTACCCTGCTCTGCACTACGTGATCGCATTACATCACTGCCCAATGTATTTGACGATGGTATGGCTCAACTTGTGCTAGACACATTTACCGCTGTTGACTCACAGGCTGCTAATATTACTGCTACAAAACCGCAACTAGAACTGCAATTGCCTGAGAATTTGCACAAAGGTCAAGAGACCACAACTGTTGATAAAATGCAGAACAAATGTTCTACTTCTAATTCGTCGATTGATGAATCTGAAACCGCAGAAAAAGCTTCTATTGCTGATTCAATTGAGTTGATACGCATGCAACGTAGAGAGCGGCTACTTGCAAATGAACATGAACGTGAACGTTCATATTCACCACCTCTGCGTGAAATACATTATGAACGAAGTTTGGCACCAGATCGTCTACATAGTTCCAGTATTAGCAGTGTTGGCTCTGGTGCTTCAGCTTGTACTGGTTCTGTCAGTATTTCAGCCTCAGTAAATACTAGCAATAATGCTAGTCGCCGTAGTAGTATTGCGAGTAATTCAATTGATGTAACAGCAGTCTCCACTTCAGCAACAGTTAAAGTGCCAGCTGCAAATGCTTTTCCACTGACCAAAACATATTCAACTCCAAATATGGAAGCACGTAAAAATAGCTTAACAGCAGTTTTTCCGCCAGCTAAAGTTGACTTAATTGAAGAGAGTACATCAAATACATCGATGACCCCGCCGGAACAAAGTCTAAAGCAGTCACAAAATACTATAAATAAAACATTTGAGAGAGTAAGAAAAACAATATCCAAATCAAAATCAAAATCAAAGTCAAAATCTCCGGCGACAAAGACTGTACAGAAATCTGGTCTAACATTAGCCGAAATACATAAAATTGTTGAGGATACTATAAAACGAGAAATACCTACCGGCAAGATGGTACATCGCACCAAAACGCCACCACCAGTTGGAGTTAAACTTGGTGTAAATTTAAAAAAAGTATCACCACCAAAAACTACCATAACAGTTAAGAAAAATGTTGCGCCAATGTTGGGTGTTGTTTTGCGTAAGGTTGAAAAGAAGACAGAACCACAAAAAAGTATACTCGACGATGATAAACCATTGTATCATTTGTCTATAGTACGCAGTGATAACAAGGACTACAAACCGGCACAGAAACCAAAGCCAAAACCTGCGCCTACAAATTTACAAAAATCTGCCACAACTACAGCAATGCCTACTAAACCAAATCCTGGTGGTATACTAACAGGACCTCAAGTTACGGCTATACGCACCGTGCCGGTTAGCCAACAACAATTGAAAACCTTACGCCCACAAATGGGTGTACCAATTACCATACAGAAGATTGAAGGTGATAAAATTATTATTATCAAGAAAATTATTGTACCTAAAAATAGCAAAATACCGGAACAATATCTACAGGTTGGTTATATATGTTGGAATAATGTGCCAGTGTCGTCAGTAAAAGTGTTTGTCGTGCGTCAAGTGATTGTCTATCCTTTTATATTTGTTCAATGTTTTTGAGAAGAATTTATCTCGATATCATATTAAGATTGACAAAGGAGACAAAGCTCGTCTTCGAAACAGGCATTTCAATATATGTAGGTATATATATAATATTCAAAATTTTTTTACAAATTTTTGTTCTGATTATCATTGAATAATATGCAAAATTGATTAGTAGTTATACAAAATATTCGTGGAGATTGCTATAATTTTTAATTAATATGTCTGTTTATATAATTAATTAAAATTAAATAAGATTGATAAAAGTATTTTTAACTTAATTACATTTTGTGTCCATATTCGATATGTACTAATTACTTAATAATAATTTATTAATCACAGTGTAAGACAAAATGCGCCTCGAGAGATGATGATTCTATTTTTGTTATTAAAATGTAATTTGAACTTAAATTATACATAAAATTTTCTGACCCAAACAAGACAAAAATAGATGAGCTAAAATTTTTTTTATCTGCAGATAAAGTATTGTTATTTAGTTTTAATTGCATCTGCCATATATAAAAAAAATATAGTGAATAACTAATTAAACATTTTTTGTGTGATATTGGTTCAATAACAACACATAGAAACGCATATGCAACTTGCATTGCATTTCGATAAAAATATAAAAAAAAACATTCTAATACCAAATGAGTGAAAATGACTTGCTGCAAACTACAAATAACGCAACAAAAGCTGCAAATGAAACACCGTCACCAGTTGCTAGCAATCAGCACACAGCAACGACAATGTCAAGTAAAGAATCTGCTGTAAAAAATATATCATATGGCAATGTGGCGTCTAATTCAACAAGCAGTACAGGTAATACGCTGGCGGCTACTACGACACCTACACATAAAACCATTAGTCAACCTAGTAAAGAGGAAAATATGCAGAAACCCACTTGCATATCTTTTACCAATCAGTCGCCACATCAACTTAGTCAAACACCACCACAACATCAGCAACAACTTTTTAAAATAATGTCACCACAATTCGCTACGGTGTTGTCGTCCAGTAAAGCTGAAACAAAAAGCGGTCTACGTTCACCTATATCGTCGCCATTAGCAATACGTAAAAATCGATCACTGTTACCTGGAAGTCCGAAATCAACACCACCATTACCGCGTAAGAACTATCCACCATTGTCCTATAATGCCATTACAGGTGCTATAACTTCACCAATTGCTATACCCGCAGTGCCACCTAGAATGATGGCTACCATAACTTCTAGCCCGCCATCTAGTCTGTCATTATCCTCATCAAACTCAACGCCTTCTACACCCTCAACTTCACCACCACCACCGCTGCCTTGTCGTGCACCAAAACATAACTCTAGCAGTAATGTACAACAACTGTTAAATGCTAGTCCAAAAATGGTCAGAAATAATTCAAGTTATAAGTATGGACATCCAACACAACAGTCTTTTACACCTCGGAGCACGACCAAACTACCAACTGTGAATGCTCAAAATAATCAAAATAGTAACAAAATGCCGGTAATTACAACGCAGCCGCTGTCTGAAATTGATCTTGATAAACTCATTGCCCAACAGAAGGAATTAGATGAAATTAATGCCACAGCTGCACATAATTCCAAAATGGATGCTAATCTTTACGATGCCGAAATTGAAATGATGAATAAATATTTGAAGAGTTTGCCAGACTACAGTGAAATCGATAAGAAAATACATCAAGAATTCAAAGAATGTGAAGATCTCTGTGAGCGTTTGAAGAAACGTCAACAACCTTTGTCAAAATCTAACTCACAACAAAATGTAACACCTGCTTACTTTACTAAGACTCAGCAACCAGCCTTACCTACAAGTAGTGCTTACCTACCAAATAATAACTTGAGCAAATCTTCATCCATTAATTTTGGTCACCAATTGTCCAGTCAACAAACTCCACCTAATACAAATCAAGCACATAAAACACGCATGGCGTATCCCTCTATATTTGCTGCTTTAGGGGCGCCAAGTAATACTACTCAAGCTCCAAAACTACAAAGAAGTGTATCTAGTTCTAATATGCCACACTCGACGCAACAATTATATCAAAGTATGCACTCCTATTTACCACAATCAACACCATTAGATGCACAAGATAAGAATGGTTCAACAACAGGTTCAAACTTATCATTAAATAAACAACTGATGAATGATTTTTGGACTGAGAATATAGCCTCATCACAAAAACGACAGACACCAAAACGTACCTTTTGGAATTACGAGAAAATTTGTAATACTCAATTAGGCGCAGCAGGTGCACCATTAAAGGTGGACGCACAAACTGCAAAGAAGTTGGCGATATTTGATCCAACTGTCGCAGAGGCAGCGCAGAAAGAATTATACAAACCCAACAAATTGCAGAAAAATGCTTCTCTATCACATTTGGACATGAAAGTGAGGCAAGCAGTTACCAAGGAAGATCTCTATAAGTTGATTTGCAATGAAAATCCACAAACCACTGGACCCACTACTTTTAACTCGCCGAATGGTTTCGTAAGCAGAGTGCCAGTAAAAATTAATAATCCGCAAATTTCTGAACCAATGACAACTAATTTAAACAAAAGTGTTTCACTTTTTCATGTACCCTCCGTTGGGGTACCACAGAGTATTGGCATGACAAATAATTTGATTCGTTCCAATAGCAAAACACACATACCAACCTATATGAAGCATTTACCATCTCTAACTCGTAGTACTTCAAACACTGCTATACTCTTGCCAGCACAGGTACAGCAAAAGGAAACAAATTCTAATGCAACAACTGTGGCAAAACAAATTAGTCAACCGAAAATTGCAGCCGCAACAATTAATAGCAATGCGTCATCAACATCTACTGCAGTTATAGCGAATCCCTACCGCGGCCTATTGAAAAGTTCATCTAGTTCAAGTATTTTAGGTGTTGGAGCCTCAACTAAATATAGTCCCTTTCAAATGAGTCAGTCACATTTACATGCATCTGACTCATGCCAGCATCAATTAGCAAATAAGTCAACAGCAACACCTCTCGCACCAGCGATGACTACTTCTTTAGTGGCTCCCAATGAAAAACCAACATCACCCTTAAGTGATGAGCTAATGATGCGACAAAAACAAACTCAACTGCAACAACAGCAACAACAGCAACAGCAGCAGCATATGCAACCTAAACTAGCAAAAATCAATGAGAATACAAACTCAATTAGCGATATTGCTCAAGCAACAGAATCTCCGTCCCTCGAACGTAAGTCCGAGAAAAGCAATAGCACGATCAGTACAAATAGTGTGACAGTAACGAATTGCTGCGCTACACATCTACCGCAATTATCAAAGTTTACGTCATCATTTCATATACCTTCAACTGCAGCGGATAGTAAAGCACAGCAACAACAATCAAAGCAAACAACAGGTACCACAAGTAGCAATAACAACAGTAACAGCAATAGCAGCAATTACAAGATAACAAAAACGCAAAGTGCTGCCAATATAGAATTGTCGAAACGTCAAAAAGAAACCGACAATAAAGTAGAAAAATCTGTAGCTGACATGCTAAAAATAAGCAACAATAATAAATCAACGTTAACAATGACACCATCAACAACTGCTACTACTGCTGCTCAGACTGCAGCTGCTGCTGCAATTGCAACATCAGCAACAATAACAGACAATAAATTGATTGCAAAACAAGAATCCTTGCAAAATTTAGGCAAACCAATCACAAGCAAAACAACTACAGAAACAAATACAACAGCATCACAAATACCTTTACCAATAGCTAGTATTGCAACATCAACAACAACTGCACCAACAGCAGCAACGCAACAATTTGTTAAGAAAAATTTTCCTATTGGAAAATCCAATTCAACATCACAAATTCAAACTGCTTATCAAAGACAGTGTATACTACAGCAACAACAACCGCTACCACAACCGCAACAACAGCATCACCAAAATCCAGAACAACAACATTTACAACAGCAAAATATGTTGAGGCAACAGCAGCAGCAACAACAACAACATGTGCAAAATTATCCGCAACATAAGCGTCCTTTCTTAAATTGGAATTCGTTTGCTTGCTCAGCTATGAGTGGTAGTATTGATCCTTTTATGCAAAAGCAACAACAACAACAACATCATCAGCAGCAGCAACACAAATTACAACAAGTACCAACAACAACAAATGTTGCTAAGAAATTAGTGCAACAACAATTACCAACACAACCTAAACCTGCTACAGGTCTAGCAGCATTTTTACAAAAAAGCACTAATAAAGAAAATAAATATATTGCACCAACGACAATTCCCCAACAAATATACGCTACTACAACGCAATTTCAACAACATCCACAACAACAACAACAAGTGGTGTATGCTTATCAACCGCAACATCAACAACAACAAATGCAACAGCAACAAATGCATCAGCAGCAGCAGCAACAACAACAACGTCGCAATCCAATTACCCATTCAGCTTCATTCACTACAACACAACGTCCTACGGTGATGGCAGCTTATCCACAACAACAATTGCATTTAGGACAAGTAACAAAGCAACAACAACAACAAGTTGGAGGTACTTATTATAGTAATAACCCACAGCAGGGCCCACAGCAGCAACAAAATGAACGCAAAGTTTTACAAACATTTGAACCGTATTTATATGCGAAGCCAACTAATTTAAGTGTTGGGAATTTGCAGCAATCTTTTTACCAACAGCAACAGCAACAACAACAACAACAGCTGCAGCAACAGCCAATTAATGGTGGCGGTGTTTTAATGCAACTTCCGCAACAACAAGCGCAGCCCGCAGTACAGCAACAAACGCAACATGTTGCTGGATTTTATGCTTATGGCTCAAAGCCGATGTTGCAAACGGCGGCACCTATTGCAACAATGACTTTTGAATCTACCGTCAATGCAGCAACTGCGCCAACATTTAGTCCGATTATTCTGCAACAACAACAGCAGCAGCAACAACAACAACATCAGCAGCAACAACAATTGGAATGTAATTCAATTAATTTAAATCAAACACAAAATCAAATGTCAAAATCTGCAATTGCACATTTTTCGAGTATCGAGGTAGATTCTTTACAAATATTCCGTTTGTTTTGTGCATTGATTGTTCGAGTTGTTTGTTCGTTCGTTCGTATGAGTTTTGTCTTTAATTAAAAACCAATGCTTCAATTATATTTTTATTAGATATATACGTAATACTATATCTGTTTTTAATTAACACGTTAATAATTAATAGCATGTGTATAAAAGTTTAATGACTAATATTAGTTAATAAAAATTTCTGCTTCCATATATAGCTAAGCTGTACTGTAGTAGCCTATTTTAGTCTACTTTTTTTTCAGTGTATTTTAACAGCAGAGTTGACACCATTAGCCAGGCTATGATTTCCTTACTCAAATCATGTTTAGCATTTTTAATTGATTTTTGTGGTGTAAAAACAATGATTAATAAAAAATTTTCAAACTTTTTCTTTGGCGAAAATATATTCTTTTTATTGTTTTTAGCCAAAAATTTTGGTCAAAATCAATTTAAAAAAATATTTTTACAATGTTGCAAATATTTTACTCAGACACTTATTGTTTATGAGTGGAAATTTTGCATTATTCCAAAGAATTTGAACTTACGAATAATAATAATTTAGACAAATGTTAGTCTGGAGTTTGGCAGTGTGCTCGCCACTCGTGCTATGCATAATAATTTTGCCTTTCGTACGGTTAAGGAAGTTATAAATTATTCTTAATTTTTCAATTATAATTAAACAAATTTTTTCTGGAAAATTTTTTAAAAACAATATTATTTTTTATTTCAATTAAATTAAAAATTCCATTGCTCTCTTTTTTTTTATCCATAGTACCATTATCGAAATTCTTAAGTGTCCCCTTGCCTTACCATTTCTGTGGTGTTTTTTTTATCATTTATCGACAGTTTGTTGACATAGCGTTCGACAATTAATCTGTCAATCATTTAAGCCATTGGCTTTAATTGCTGCCACACATGTCTTTGTTGTGTCTGATTTAAGCCGTTATTGGCCGACGTTTTGGACTATTTGCAGCTACAATGTTTTTGTTAATAAAATTTGTGTCTGGGTTTATTGTGAATACTCTTTTTGAATATAAAACTGAGTGTTTTTTTTATGGCTTTTTTATGCGTACATCATTATTTCTTACAATTTGTTGTCATACATATAGACAATTTATATCAAATTGTTATTACACATTTAAGTAAGTGTTGATTGTTGTCGTTGTCATCGTTTATTTTAATAGTTTTACACAAAAAGTTTTATACTTTTTTTGGTTTATTGTGTTTCTTCAAATACCAAATAGGAAGTTAAATTTTAATTATATTCAACAAATTTTATTGCGAAAAAATTAAATATTTACATGGCATATAATATCATGTTATACTTGCTGTGTATGGGTGACATATTTTATGTACTTAAATGCCTCTATTATTGCTCAAAAAATATGCGTCCAGTTTCAATTATATTTTTCATCCTATCTATTTGCTTATTTAACATTTGGAACCACAAAAAGTAAAGTATCTTATTTTTTGAGTATTGAAGTTACTTAATATGTACACAATAGCATTAACTTAGCTTATATTATCAAAAAAATGTTATAATTAAAGTTTTTTTAAAATTATATTTTTTTACTATTTACTGCTCTTTTTTTTCACTTTTTCGGTGCTGTTAACTGGCTTTTTTATTTAGCTGGTATTCACGTTTTATCGCTTTGTTATTTAGAGTATACTATTATTTTTCCTTTTTAACTAACTTCAGTGTTCATTGGTTGCTTAAAAATCTATCATTAGATTCAGTTTTCCTCAGTCCTTCTCAGGTTTACAATATTAATCTCTCACTGTTGTACCCGGGTCTCTCTTACTTATAACTCTGTCTTTCCCGGTATCTCAATTTTAATCATTTTGTCTGAAGCGAAATCTTTTTTACTCCCTCCTTTTCTTAAATATTTATAATAGATTCAGGTTTTCTCTGTCCTTCCCAGGTTTTCAATATTAATCTTTTAAATTCGTTATTGCCTTGTTTTACTTTATAACTGTGTCCTTCCCGTCGTCTTATTTTTTATCATTTTATCTTTGTCTCCCTTTCAGAGAGATTGAAAGATTGAATTGCTAACCACTGTTCTGTGTTTCCGTTTCCACTTTAATTCTTCATTTATTTCTCTCTTTCGTTATCATTTTTGTTTCCTTCTGTTTTCTTCTATCTTATATATTTCTTTTTCTCCATTTATGTCTCTCTATTTTTCACTATCTTTTAAATATAACTAACTGCGCTTATCTCGTTTTGTTTTCCTCTCCCTTTCTTTATCATCCTCGCTATATTTCTGTATTTCTCATCTTCCTTATCTTTAACTCTCTTTTTCTGTGTTTCTTTTTTACAGTTTCTCTATATCTTTCTTGTTTTTATATCTATTATTTTATCTTTTTTATTTATCTTTTGGTTTTTTATCTGCCTGTACTTATCTGTCATGCATTTTACTTTTCTGTGTCTTTTTTAAATTATTTTCTTTCTTTTTTATATCTCTTTCTCTCTCATTCTCTCCTTATTTTTTTATCTCTCTCTCGCACTTTCCTTATTTTTTATCTCTATTTCTCTCTCATTCTTTCCTATTTTTTATCTCTCTCTTTGTTTTTCTCTTTTGTTTGCCTTCACTTTTTTCTCTATTTTTTTCTCTATTTTTTTCTCATACATCTCATACATATTTTTCTCATCATATATCATTCATCATACATCACATCTTCCTGTTCGTCTTACTTTTTTCTTCGGCCCTCTTTGTCAAATTTATGTCTCATATTTATACCAAATATCGTTTAATTTAATAATATACATTTAATTATTTTACTGGTATGATTTATAGTTTCGTAGTAAGTTTTAATTTATAGTTAGTTTGAAATAATTAGGTTTTTTCTTAATTAAAATGCGTTTTGTATTGGTTTTAAATTTATTATGATTCATCATAAACTATAAAATTAAAAACAAAATACAAATGATGTTTTTCAACTCTTTCACCAACGGTAATCCCCAGTATTTTCAAAGATTTTTCAATTTAACTGAAAATAAATTTATATGAAATATAAATTTATTTTTTTTCTATTCACAAAGGGCGAATTAAATAAATGATATGAATTTTTCAAAAATTTATTTACCCATCACCTGAAAAACAAACTTACTAAATTTTTGGTCTATATTTTCAATATTTACAAGTATATTCATTTGCCTATTCGTTTGGCCTACATGACGTATTCGTAACTTAAATTTAACATATTACTCATACGTCATGTGGGCATTTACAATATCATAAATTCAAATGATTTTATTTGTTGTTTTACAAATTTTGTTTTTCTGGCATATAAGAGTGTGACTTCAAAATGTCATAAAAGTTTTCCCAACTAATAAACTCAAGTAAAAATATTGTACCAATTTATATTCATTGTATATTCTCATATAGAAAATATAGAAATTTTTTTTTTATTTTAGTTATATATATATATTTTTTTTTTTTTACAATAATATATAAACATGTGTTTAAGTGTTTTTGGCAGTCACTTTGCGGCTTTTCTCCAATCCAATCTGCCTTTAATGTTATTCTGAATAATATTCGTTCTTTTTTTTTTTTTGGTTTTAGTTGTTTTGGACACCAAAATAGTCTGATTACTCATACAACAAAATATTAGTTTATAAAATTTTGTTTATTCTTATACGCTGTTTTAATCATTTAAACATATGTTCTGTAAAATAGTGTATAATATCCTATATTGAATCATTCTGTATAGACTTTATACCAGACTGTGTTGTTTTTCTGCCTAATTAAATGAAAAATCTAAAACTGTTGCTGCTTGCGCACATGTCAGCGGTGCAACATTTAATTGCCACTAAAAATATATGCATCATAGTTGCATCATCAGTACAATATTTAAATTTGGTAATTACATTTCACTGTAATAGTCATTAGCGGCCAATTATAATGTTGCTTACACTAAGTTCTCTTGGCGTTACCAATACAAGCAAAGCTGCACAAATCAAAACATTGCACCATCACACTACCGACCAGCGCCACTTGATGTATGCAATTTCAATGTCAATTGCATATATACACACATGTATATATACAACAAGATCTTTCCTTGCTCTATGCTAAATACTAAATATCTAAATATCTTAAATTTATACTTATTTCATTTACATTTGTTACTGGTGCTGCTGCGGCTGCGGCTGCAGCTGCATACTTTCTTGAGATATTTATGGTGCGAATGTTTTTCATTCTGTATCTGTATTTGTAGTGCAGTGTCTGTTTTATTTTAACATTTTATTATGTTAGTGAACTTTGGCGTCATCGTTGTTGGTTGATTTAATTTTTTTTTTTTTTTTGGTTTTTAACATTTATAAATTAATTTTCTTTGTGCAAAAATTTTGCTTTATTTATCTTAAAAAAATTGTATTTATTTCATTAAGATTTACTTCTGAACTTCATACTGCCAAACAAAATAAGCACACATTTCAATGATAGATTATTTTCATTCTACAAACAATTCAACTTTGAATTTCTATTTTTTTTCTCTTTTCTCTAAAAATATTGTTTTTAATAATATTAAATTTATTTATAGTTTTATTTTAATTATTGCAAAATTGAAATTGCAGATGCTGCTTCAATAGTAAATAATTGCAAATTTTCAATTTAAGTCACAAATGCAAAAGTTTAGCTACATAAAGCGGCGCCAAAAAGATTAATGTATTTTTTGCATTTCATTAAATTTTATATATTTTTTTTTATAATAATTTATAGGTGTTGCAACAAATTTATTGGTTTAGTATTTTTTTGAAATCAAAAGAAATTTAAATGAAGTTATTTTAAACTAAAATACTTAGTGCCACAGTTAAACTGTTTTGCAAATAAATTTTGGTTGTATTTTTACATATTAGTATAAATTAAATTAAAATAATAAAATATATATTTAAATTATTATTAAGTCCACATATTTTTTAGTAAAAAAATATATATTTTTTTTTGTCCAGAATACGAGGCACTATTGTAGTGAAAGGCAGTGAT